AATTGAAACAAATAAAGGCTTGAAATATTTCACTTTGTCTGTGGTGCACTACTTTAAGATACCAGTTTCACTTTCTGAAACAAATTATTGAAATAAATATACTTTCCCTCAATATTCTCATTTTTGCCACCCACCTGTATTTCCTTTCTCAAACTGGCTGAAGGCTAAACTTGACATGGTAATTGATCGAGTAAAAGTTCAGAATACAAACCCAAATAAAGCCTACTATTACAAAAAGTGACTTCAATGTTTTGGTGCATCAGCCCCTTCATCCCTTCTCGTAGTCATTGTTCACACCAGTAAAGTAAAAAAAAAAACGGTAATTAAAATGTGAAATTCTGTGTGTTTTATTACAGATCCTGCTAAGAGAATGAATGGTGCGTATGGCTACATCGGATACCTCGGAGTCATCGGTCTGTCCATATGTGTTGCATTGCAATTTCTTCAAGTTTTTTAAGATCATTGTCCAAAACAAAGATCACGCTTATCTTTTCCCACGTGATTGCAATGCTCTCAGTTATATAATGGCATGTTTGGACATGGATCACCCTGATATTAGTTGGCAGCATTCATTAAACTACAACTGCTATGGAAATTACATTTCATATTCAAATCAAGATGCAATGTTTTAGTTCTGTCTGTCACCACAATTTATCTTTTTTCATCCAGGATGCTCACCTGTATTCTGGCTAATACAATAAAAAATGAAAATAGTTCCCCTGTTGGTTGTGAATATACTCATTTGTCCATGTCATTGAATTCTCTGGTCGTTGAATCCATTGCAACTTGCCTGTTAATGTTTTTTTAGAAGCCACTTTGCCTCTCATCCTTGCAGGCTTCATCAGTTCTTGTTCAAAGATTACGATAGATTATTTGTTGGTCATCTACACCAGCATGTTTCATGAAAGGCAGAAGAATAAAATATTCTACACCATGGCAGACCATGCAGAGGGGACAAGAACTATGTATCCACAAGTTGACATTCGTACAACAGAAAAAGTAATGGCTTTGTGATTACATCAGCTTTGAGTTCAGTGTAGTCATTCACTGGCAGCAGCCTAGTAAAAATGGATTTTTGACATACAGTATAGCTGTCAGTGGCAGTGAATGAGTGAATTTATTCACAGCCAACCGAGTAAAAATGGATCTTTGACATCTACAGCTTTTGCTGTCGGTGAATGCATTTAAAAGACCCAGATTTCACAGTGAGTACCGGTAAGTGAATCTGTGAGTAAATTGAGACAACATCATCATTTTATTTAGTGGTATGCTGTGACAATTTTATGTAAAATGGCTGCATGAGATAAGAGACACAGACAGACAGATAGACAGACACATACATAATAATTGCACAATTCGCCATTATGGGACAAATTAAGGTTATCTAATCCAAATTCTAAACGTTGGGAAAAATTGGCCTAAGGGAGCAAAGGGGCTAGACCAGTTAGTTTGCATCTTGAGTGCAAGCAAATGTTTCCTTGAGCAAGTCACAAAACCCCTATCTATGGACGTAACAGTTTGCGACTTTTAATTTTGTTCAATTACATTCTGTCAGTATTATATGTGAAACAATAAAAATCAAAAGTTTAGGTTCGGTGGTACTGTATTAAGTAAATGACAATATTTTGTACAGTTTAAAAACCAATTACCATGGATTATATATTATGTCCACAACGAGCCTTTGTCAGGCTGTACGTACTTTACCGTGGAGTATATATTTGTAATTTATTGATTGCTTTGTTGTCTGGTCTTTGCGAGCACTGTTGTGGTGTGTTTCGAAGCGGGTGCTGAGGTCCACATGTGACTCACATGACGTTTCAAATACAAAGCTCTTTAAAGCTGGCAAAACCACAGCCAAAAGAAACATAATATCAGAAGATCGCACATGAGTGCACAAAGAGAGTCCCTTTTGAAGCTTTAGGTTGGTTATACGCTGGCCACTCCATGAAACTAATGCATATTATATTATTTTAAACCTGAGACGAAACCGGAAATGAAACATTAGTGGTGATAGATTAAAGAGTTTAATGATCATGGAAATGTGTCTAGTAATCGCGTGATAGTAATAGCTCTGCTTATATACGATTAAAGCACTGTAAAATATAATACTTTGCGTTAAAGCAATAAATTCTATTTTGTCCCATGACCCCTGAACGCATCAATATCAATAGCTGCTTATATTCCTCTCAACTGTGTAGGCGAACTGCGCATGCGCATGACCGAGCTCTCGGAAGCAAAGTCGGCCTGATCCAAAGGGTCCACATCAAGAATCGAAAATAAGCGGTAGTTACTACTTTGAAAACGACATTAGGGTGTGTAAACATCACGGTTGTATACATTTTTCGGTAGCATCGCCGCTGTCTTGTGGGTTTTGCAATCGTTTTCAGCGACGTCTCTTGTGACAAGGCACCTTAGAGGAAATGTTTGCTATTATCAAAGCGACGAACAAAAGAATGCTACGACACAATCGTGATTATTTCCACTCTCTAACAGATTGTCTGCATCATGTCGTTATTGGTATACATCTTGAGGATTTGTTATGAAATGTGTGTTTTAACAGTTGCCAATTTCAGTTTCACAATAAGGATCACGCAGTTGTTAGTCCCTACAAGTTGAGCATCATCCCCATATAGCAGTTGCGTACTAACGTTGCTTGTTTTTGTTTAGTTTTAATTTCACGTAGTGGTCAAAATCCATAATTCTCCAAGAGAAATACGCTTTACATTAAGGGATTTTCTACAACGTGTTGGGAGATAAGTTGTTTGACGTGCCGTCCTTCCTTCCTCAGAGCCATGTCAGGATTGCTGGACGGGATTCGGTGCGGAGAATGCGACTGCAATGTGGATTGGAGTGAAAAAAGAAACACCGTCGCATCGATAGCTGCTGGGGTTCTGGTATTTCTCGTTTTATTTTAATGCACCCTGTATCTAATTTTTATTCTCGTCGTTGCACACTATCTAAACCACCATGTTTGACCACAATCCGTTGACAGCGTTATCATGTCGCAATGTATTTATTAATGTGGGTGTTGTTTTCAAGGCTCCATCACGCTGACTGTGAATTCTAGTGTGTTTTGGTTAGCGCATTATATTGTGCCATTTCATCCTGTTGAGACTGTCACATGGTGTGTCAAAGTTTTCAGGAAGGACGAGTATCAAAAACCTAAAGGTTTTCCCCAACTTCAGTATTTGCAGACGTGGAAGTGGGGTTGGGTGCTACTGGGCGGGGGAGATTACAGCCCAGACACACAGAGTCAGCGATCATGGTTTTAGATCTGTGTTTCCCAACCTTTATTGAGCAAAGACGTATCGAAAAAATATCAGAGCACCACTTAACAAAACAAATTCACAAAAAGTGGACAAACAGGTTAATTATGTACCGAATTTCATGAACCATTAGGTGCATTGTATTGGGCGCTGTATCAATGAAAGGGTCTAATTTAAAATATTTTCCATACATAGAGTGCTAGGTGTCATAAGGCGCATTATTATTGTGAAGTACTGTATGTTTAATAGTTTATTCTAATTGTACCATATGTTTGATAGATTTTGCGTTCTTGTGCTAGTTTAACACCGGAAACAAAATAATGGGTAGCACCACGTGTCTTGCCTGCTTTTGTTTGCCATGCAATGACACAGGGATTGCTTTGAGTTTAACAGGGTATTCTCCAACAAATGACAGAAAAAGTTTGAACATAGTCAAATCTCGTGACCGGTGGTTGTGTTATTTCTAGGGCTGATGTTAAAGACTATCTTGGTTGATAGTTCAACAAATGTCAATGCACTCACCATTATCCAAACTTTTATGCTCAGTCTCGGAAGTTATTGGAAGCTGGCTGTGTGATTTACCTCGCACCCATCCTGTCGCACATTTTAAGATTTAAAATATGCCGCCCACAAAAACCAGCTAATGTTGGTGACCGTAGCATGAGGCCAATGCGACTACGTTTCCCATGATTCATAGACACGAAAGCAGGAGGTAGTCTGAGTTCTAGTTATACAATACAATACAATAAATATTTATTTTTATAGCGCTTTCACAACAGCTTCAGCTGTAGCAAGGCGCTGTACAGAACAGTTATGAAGAAAACACACCTGGTACTGATTTAGATGTGTATTGGGAATGAGAACACATACATGAATATGAAAAGGAATAGGAAGGGAATTGAACTTTGCGTTTACCGCTCAGTCCCACAGACCGCAATGTTATTATCCCGCATTGTAACATTGGAAACGCGCAGTCAGAAACACTCAGCTAACCACAGCATTAGGCTAGTAGGACTACATTTCCCATGATTCATAGACAGAAGCAGAAAGTACTGGTACTCCCCGTTCCAGTATGATGAAAACATAAAAATGTCTGCTACCCATGAGATGCGAGTAAGAATGACAACGCCAACCTAATAGGAGAGGATTTGAATTAAAGATGGTGAACTGAAAAGCCAACATCAATCCATACTTCGGGCGCACCGAATTACAAGGCACATTGTTGAATTTTGAGAACATTTAAGAATTTTCAGTGTACCTTATGGTCCGAAAAATACAAATATCTTCTCTCATCGAGTGGATGAGCCTTTTATTGCTTTGCCTTTTGTTATGAGAGTTAACAAAAACATTTTTTTGGAGTAGAACATAATTTATTTGTTGTCAAATTGACATTGGATAGTTTCTGATGATCTCTCGTTGCACACAAATGTGCCATGGCACACTGGTTAATCACTGACATAGGTGCCCGCCTCTTTCCTAGCACACCTGCACTGCAACAGAGAAAGGGGTGCGGGAAATGGGTAGACAAGAGGCACTGTGCTATATACTGTATTTTAATATCGAGCCAAATATTCCGAACATTTTGCTAAGTAAAAAGCCCACAATTCAATTACAAAAGACAAAAAAAGGCACTGTTGAAAATTGAAAGAAGAAAAAAAAATACTTCTAAAAACCCTAATTGTGAATTGACTGTTACCGCCAGTGATGAATGAGTAAGAAAACCTTGGCCTGAGTTTTGAAAAATAATGCAATTTTTATTAGATCAATAGAAAAAAGAGAGGGGGCGGTGACCATTATGTGCTGGCTGCGCCGATCATGCATTTGTTGTCCTTGCTGGCAAACCTCAAGGATCAATTGATTGTTACTGATTCAGTTACTGTTTCCGTCATTGTTTTTCTGAGTAAAAGCAGATGTTTGTCTTATTTTGACAAAAGAGAATACCTCTGCTTTCATGAAGAACCACATAAATCAGAGAATAATTTCTCCTGAATCTGAGTCTGAGGATTTCGACAATTTTAAGTTATACTGTGGCTCTTAACGATTACTCAATTATTAAAACAGTCGTTGTTTAATTTGATACAATTATTTGTTGATTAAATGATTACTGTTGACATCTCTAGTTTGTATTGAAATTGAATTTTATATTTGGAACACCAGTCCTGACGCACCTCATCTTTTATGATGTCTTTGTTTTGATCTTGTGTCAGTTCTTCACTGGTTGGTGGATCATCATCGATGCAGCAGTGAAGTATCCTACTCAAGAGGAATTTCCCCATTCTTATCACACATGTGGAGTCATCGCGACGGTGGCTTTTCTGATGTAAGTCCTGCTTCACAAACACTCGTCTGATATCTTTAGTATTATTTGGTCTGCTATACAACTTGTTAAAATAGGGAATATTTTTTTTCAGCAATTCAATTTTTGTACACTTCCAAAATGAATGAAAACACTCTTAACATGAATGCTAAACCCACATTTGGTAGTTTGTAAAGCTACATGCCATAAACACTTTGGATGGGCGATAAAGGCTATACATACATGTCAATTAATCATTTAAAAAAAACACTCTGATATGCAGTATTTACCAGTTTTTGACTCACTGATATCTTTTCCAACATTATTTCTGTCGCTATTGATATTACTCTTCATGTTTAATTGACACTACTGTGACCAAAAATGTAGTTGCATCTCAAATCATCTTCATGTCAGTGAGCCAAATCTGGTGCCTTAACAGCGTGCACAGTGGTGGGCAATATATCTTTATCAAAATTGAAATATGAACATTCAATATATTAGTACTGTATTGCAATGAGGACGATATCAGTTATGTAACCTTGCCATGCTTGTGTTGCATGAGAGTCTCAGTTCAACCAACCACATTCCTCCAGCCACGTTTGACTTCGATCGGCAGTTAGAACCAGCAAGATAAACATCTTGCGCAGGGCGAGAGGGCCAAGGGACACATGCATCCACTGCCCCTTAGACTGCATCACACGCAAGATATGCACTTCCTTGTTCGCTGCCAAGTATTTCAAAATTACCAGTGGATAAAATTGCAGGGTGTGTTGTAAAAATGTACGAGCAGCCCGCACCTCACTGGACCGTTCAATTGAAGTGATGCCTGGGCTGTGTCCTACTTGGGTCACAATGCCCCTTTTTGTAACTGCCACCATCTTTTTGTGGATTAATAAAAAGTAAGACAGTCATCCCTCATTTATCACGGGAGCTACGTTCCAAAAAGAACCTGTGATTAGTGAAATCCATAAATGAGTCATCTTTATTTTTGACAATTATTAGGAATAGAACACTGTATTGAATGAAACCAAAGATTAACCTTTTTTCAAGCCCAAATATTAAAAAAAAGTGTGTGTGTGTGTGTGTGTGTGTGTGTGCGTGCGTGCGTGCGTGCGTGTGTGTGTATATATATATATATATATATTTTTGTGGCAGCACAATATGCAAAACAATTAGAAATATTGTACAGAAAGTTTTGTCGCCACAGTAATATCGTTTTCCTATCGCTATGGAGATATCTGGCAAGAATAGCCATATCGCACAGCCCAAGTCTACAGTAACACTACATGTCCCCGAACTGTACTAGGTTTGACTATATTTTGTATTTATCAGGAAATGATGCAACCTTTAACCAACAAATTCCCAAGGAAACACGTTTTATCATCCATTGTATTCGCCATTTACTGCCACAAAAGTGGATAAAGTATCCCCAACCCCCGCACAGCTTCAAGCATCAATGTGCAACTGTTAGGTTTGTTTTTTTTTTTTTTTTTTTTGTGGCAGCTTATTTGTATCACCTCAAACTAATCAGGAGTAACTTTACAGGCCTTCTCAAGTGGCACGACTTTTTTGTCATTCACGATGGTCACGCTATCCGACTACCAAGATAAATATTGTTCTGTGTGTTGGACCGGGCAAGATTCAGTCCATCGGCGTAGGTGTGTCAGCTACGAGACACTACGTTTGTCTGCGACAAGTCTGTTGGCTCAAAATCAGGCTACACTCATGTAAGTCTGGTGTCGGTCGGCATAACAGTGGCCTAGTAGCCTGCGGCTATTACGCGACTGTGTCTGGCCACCTGAAGTTCACTGAAACTGGTGCGATCGGGCCAAGACAAATTTCATACATGCATCAATCTGATCAAATCAGCACAGTCTTGCATTTTTGTAATATTTGAAAATCAAAAATTTGAGTTTTATCCACTTAAAGTAATCGGTCTTTTTACCGTGCTCTGCACATACTTTTGGGAGTCAGGTTAAATCCTTCCACAAGGGATGCCTTGAACATGGTATAAAGTTCAAAAACCAACAAATGTTCAAAAATGAGTTCGATATTATACTACAAAAAAAAAAAAAAAAACAATATGCAAAACAAAGTACCGGTAAGTACACAGAAGTAGTATTAAGGCTTAATTAATACAGTATAACTCTACTTAAGGGGAAATAATCATTTCAACTTACCTTATTTTATCATGAATATGCAGGGCCAGTGCCGGTTCTGGCAGGGCCACCACAACATGTCGGGACATTGCAAAAAAAAAAAAAAAAAAAAAAAAAAGCTTTAATGTAGGGCCCCACTTTACATGTTTTCTGAATGTATTGTTGACAGTGTCTCATATTTCATCAGCCTCAGGAAAAGAGATGCACATCACAAGTACACGCCTTCTGCTTGTCTTACCGGCTATCATGACTTCACAACTCATATTGTAGTAGCAATATGAAAGCATTAGTTTGTAAAAGTGACAGTACATCCGACTTGCTTCTCGACAACTAGCAATCCTAATTTCTGGACTTAAACTTTCAAGCTATTTAAAAATAAAACCACTGAATGAAGTTGTTCAGACATGCCGCTTGCAAAGTCGTGTACTCAATGGTCTAGTTTCATATAAAATGTCAGTCACATGATACGCGTGTGTCAGTCTCTTAAAAAAGAAACAAAACATACACATTGAGCTGTTGCTGCTAACACTGTGTTCAAATTTGGTTCGTTTTAGGATAAATGCTGTGTCAAATGGCCAAGTGAGAGGTGACAGCTACAGTGAAGGCTGCATGGGGCAGACAGGTATGAGCATGGCCATCTTGAGCTAATACACATTCACCAGAAACTTCATTACGTATACCTGCTCGGTCGAAGAAATCCAGTGCAAGAGCTTTATCAAAATATGAGAATGACGTTGCTTGGCACTGAATTGACGTCAGACGAATTCCGTTTTTGGTCATTGCTTTGTTATTTTGGGGAGACAAAATATGAACGTCTCAGTATAATGCTGCGTGGTTCTATGCCGCTTTAGTGTCAGTCATAACAGAACATTTTAAAAGCCGGTTTTGTTCATGTACAACTATTTCAGCCGTACCGGATGACATGCTTAAGTGTACTCGAACTCTTGAAATGATGCATGTTTAACGTAGCAGTTCCGGAACGCTTGGAGTTATGCATGTTTATCTTGCAGCCGTTGATTTGATGACAGTCCTCGCGTTCCAGTACAATGTAATAAAGAACAGTCAAGCAGGAGCTAACCCTTTCTTATCTCTCTCTGCAGGCTCTCGCGTGTGGCTCTTCATTGGCTTCATGCTGTCTTTTGGATCCCTCATTGCCTCCATGTGGATCCTCTTTGGAGGTTTTGTAGTGCCTAGTAAGTAGCTGCTACATTTTGTTCTGATTTGAGTCATTTGTAACTTTTCAAGCAACAGAGTCGTTCGCAGTGTGCTATGTTAATGAATTTTCTTGCACAATGTTGTGATAAATGATTGCACATCTACTGTGACAGTGAAAAAAAATAAGTATCCAAATAAATGTAATCAAAATAATTAAGATGTTTTGGGGGGTGGGTTCTCTCTCTCCCCAGAGAATCCTATCGTGTACCCTGGAATTGCCATTTTCTTCCAGAATGCATTCATTTTCTTCGCGTAAGTGAAGAGGCCGAAGGGACTTTCTGTCTTGTGTTTGGCAAAATAATTGACATCACACTCCTTTATTTGTATTCAGGGCCCTGGTGTTCAAGTTTGGACGTACAGAGGATCTGTGGCAATAACTGACTCCCAAGTGTGTCTGTCCGTCATTGTTAGACTGCTTTCTTTGTTGTTTCGGACAATATGCTTCAGGCTTCAGTGGTTCTTCATCACTTTTTATGTAGCCTTTGTAGCGTGCAGGATTGACTTGTTTTAATTTATATTTTTGTTGCTGTTTTAAAAGGCTAACTCCTAACCAAGCACAAATCGTAGAATCATTCACAGATTGACCGTTTTGGAATGTGGCACATTTTGACAATGTGTATCTGCCCCCCGGGCAGCTGTGCTGTTGAAGAGAAGTATAAAACTTTTGTGTATGACATTTATTTTGGGAAGTCTACGTCCAAGCCTCCTGTGGGTATGCTTATGTTCTCCCTTCATTTTATGTACTGTAACCTGTTAGCAGAGTGAAAAGAACACATTTTGTGATGATGTATAAAAAGACTTAACTGAGGCAATTACCATGAAAATGCATTCTGAGAGAACTCACCATTTGAGATTGTCTCTCTCTGAAATAACATTGAGTTCTGAATCTCGTCATGCAGATTTATTGTAAAGTAATTATGGTTTTGCATAGCTTAATTGAGGTCAACATTTTTTCACAACTGTCCGGTAGATTTACTTTCTATGTGCATCCATTTCTTACTTTTGTGAAATGGGGCCAGTTTTTGGCTTCCATGGCATAATTAAACAATCATTCTGAGCAGGACACCTTTTGCGTTTGTCTTGTGTAAAGCTTGTGTACACCTCCAGGGTCAGACTCCTCAGATTATTTGCGAACTGCAAGATGCTCAAACTGCAAAACATTTTTTAAAATTTGTCTTTGAGGTTATACAAATGAAAAAAAATTCATAGCAGACATTTCTTGTTGTTGAAGATGTTCTCCTACCTTCCAGAAAGCTTGATCATCAAAACATTTTTTATCTTGGGGTGGTCTCCAGATGTCCCACTTTAGTAGTACTCCTTTGAACATATCCAAAGGGACACCAATTTAGAAGAAGTGACTTACATTCAGATACTGGATTTCTTGTTTGAATATTCCCATTCTTGCTCTATGATCATACTTTACAATCCTGAAAAATGTTATCAAACCAACATTTTTTGACTTAATCATACCTGTTAGGAACCCCATGGTCAGGCTTGTAGCTAGGGTGATGAGGAGGGCATCAATGTGAAATACGGCGAACCGGATCGCCCTGCAAATGAAAGACTATTTACACAGCGGCATGTTGCTGATTGTCAAAAATCTGCCATTTTGACAAAGCCTTCTTACATTGTGTGATCATCACACTGTTGGATCTGCAGGACGAGCTGTATCAGCCATCCCAGTAGACCAGGGAGTCCGTGTGTGCTCAGAACACTGCAGGTGTCATGGCACTCGAAAGCAAACAACATGTGGTTCTGGTTGGTAAGACACGGTTTGAATGTAGATTGATGATAAACTGACACACTCATGCATTGACCACCACCTTGAGGTATTGGAATCCAACGGTTGACACAGCAGCTGCGGCCAGTCCAGTTGTCATGGCCTCCCACGGGTAACGTATCGCTGGCATGGAAACCCCGACAGCGACACCCCCAGCAAGTATGCATGACTGAAAATGGGCCTAATAGGAGAGTGGCACCATAAGCTCAATGCTTCTCAAACTAATCGGTCCAAACAATCGCTTCAATGTACTGGGTTGACTTTTCCCTTTGGACTGGAGAGCACAGATAGCGCAACAGATGCTACTGCACAAACAGCCAGGGCCAGGTAGGTGCTGCACACTGCCGACAACCTTCTCTCTTCCATGAGGATAGAGTTAAAACTGGGCCAAAACATCCAGAGAAACACAGTACCTGTTGAACCGGAATATTGTTAACATTTAGGGGGGGTGAGAAGCAAAAAAGTGTTAACAACCCCTGACTCTTGTGGGTGTGAGCAACATTTGTTTTGCATATCTTGACATTTAACCCAAAACCAGTAGTATGGTTTCAAATCGGTGGAAGTTCTCGGAAATGTTGACTGAACAACAACATATCACCTAGGTTAATCATGCTCCCCAATCTAAAAGAAAAAAAAGCACACACACCAAGTTCCCTTAGGTCTGCCTCCTGATCCTCGACAACGTCCTGCACCATTTTGTCCACTTCCTATTTTGTCAATATTTGGTGCGACTGTTGATTGCTGGCTAATTTACTTTGGAATCGAGGTACATTTTGTTATATTCGCTGAGGTCATGCATATTTATATTCTTTGTATTAGCGGTTCGGCTCATGCATGTAATGGAAATGTAAATGCGTGTATGTTTAAGAGCAGTTGTGTGGTCTCAATACTCTGTGGCCTCAATAGTGCTGCAGTAATTTGTATATCGTGTGAATGGTAAAATACAGTAGAAACGAGTGTCTGAGTTTGTGTAAATTCTCGTTACTTGAAACAAGATTATGCTGAAAGATGTGTTTTGAAATTTTGTGTTTTATAAGCTGCAGATTTTGGAAGTATTATGTCAATTCTGTCACTTAACATGGAAGCTTTCCTTGTTTAATAATTGCGGGAAATTTGGATTCAGTGAAATTCAACTCAGTACTTTGCTCAAAGGTCAAAGGCCCTTCAGTCAGAACTTGGGATTCTTCACCACTGGGCAACAGTGTCTTCATGAATCCATGCTTCCACAGGATTTATACTTAAAACAGCATTTGAAGACATGCACGACTCGCCACACACCTAACATGGAGAACAATCCTGTTTTGCGGTCAAGTTTCTCCTTCTCGAATCCCTGAAATGATTCTGTCCGACAGAGGATCCATGTCAGCACAAGACCAAAGAAAGCTCCAAAGATGTGAAGCACCATGATGAAGTTCAACTGCCGTACCTATGATCAACAAACATGGTGTGAATCCATTCCAAAAAGTCAATGAGCCTATGATTTACGATGGCCCAATTTTTAAAGGTCTCATCATTAAGTCAATAAAACAAAAGCTTACTTACCGGTAGCAAAGTCTGCAGGAGCCACTCATTCAGGACAAAGCCAAATACCTCCAGCAGGGCCATGAGAATTAAGTGGACAGGATTTGTTTTCCCTTGCACAGCACCAATTGAGATGAGAACCGAGGCTGTGCACATCTCAGCAACCACCAAGCTACGTGCAGTATGTTCAAATGTTCATTATATTATACTTCTCAAGCAGCAAGTATGTGCAAGAGAATAGATGCAGAAATGAAATGTTATACAGTACCTATTCAGGTCAATCCGAATCTTCCCTCTATAATACCAGGACTCAAAGCCATTGAGTAGGAGTGCCCACTGGGTGCCAATGACGGCTATAAGCAGGTTGAACCCTGAGCCGCTGAACCCATAGCGTACTAAAAAGGTGCTCAAGAAGCCAAAACCCAAGAAGACAACCACATTCAAATCTTGGAACACTGAAAAAAAAAGTTTTTTTTTTTTTAAATACTTTTTTAATAGCGGGCCCCTTTGCAACACAGCTAGAACATACAGAGCCTACCACAGGGAGCTGAGTACCCCCTTAATTGATCCAAAAAATAATAATAAATTGGGAATCTTTCATACATGCAGTGAAAAATGTATCCTCAAAAATGAAATATATTAAGAGCATGTATTTTGCACATGTGCACTTATTTTGTTCATATTATAAATAGCATTTTTTTGTGTCATGCATCTGGTTAGGAAGTGCATGGTCCTATGTGCCCCCACCCCCAGTGGCACCGAAGAAAAATGATGGCCCCTTCCATTATTGAAGTTGCCAATACTGGTCTACTACATCTTGAGGTAAAGGCCACAAGGGCAGGGCCATTTTCCATGTACATTTAAATGATCAATACACAGTCATTACTTGCATTGATATGGAATTAAGAAGTTAACAAATATTTCTGTCAGTAACAACTCCATTGTTTAGATATTTTTCTTTCTTGATGTGGCCTGCAAATCATGGTGTCAAATTAAGAAAAAGTCTGACTGTGTAGTTGAGAAGCACTGCAGCGTCTACCGCAAGGGGTTGCATCATTTTGCAGCATTTGTCTGCTGAAGTTAGCCATCCAAAATAAAGCATCTGATTGATGTACGTTTGCATTTGTTTACTGGTGAGATTTAATATCACAATATTTTACAAGATGTTACTCACCTGGATAAAAATTGCTGAATTTAATCCCATTCACATTGCTTTCAATCTCAATGTAGAAGTAATACACAACTACAAAACCTATTTGTAAGAAAAGCAAAAAAGGAGCCAAACGAGAGCGCAAACTTGGGGCGTATTTAGGAGCCATAGTAGATTACTTTGCTTCGGGAGACGCATGCTTCACTCTGATGATATGAAATGGGGCGCAGCCCACTGTGCAGCTTTTTCTTATCTTCTGCTACATGCGCAGAGAATACAAAAACTTATCTCTACCTTTTAAAATAAAATAAAATAAAATGCTGACATTTGAATCCTCTTTTCACTTGACCATTGTGAAAACAGAATACACACACACACACACACACACACACACACACACACATCCATTTTCTGATGCCCTTATCCTCACAACGGTTGCGGGGCGTGCTGGAGACTATCCCAGCTGTCTTCGGGCTGTCAGCGGGGAACACCCTGAACCGGTTGCCAGCCAATCGCGAGCACACGAAGACGAACAACCATTGGCGCTCACACTCACAATTTAGAGTGTTCCATTAACCTGCCATGCATGTTTTTGGAAAGTGGGTGGAAACTGGAGTTCCCGGAGAAAACCCACGCAGGCACGGGGAGAACAATCGTGTGGAATGAATGTATGAATTTCACAAGTTTCACTTTTTGAATAGTGATACTGAAATAAATCAAAATGTTCATGATATTACTGTTTATTGTCTTGTATAAATATATACGTGTGCGTGTGCATATGTGTGTGTGTGTGTGTGTGTGTGTGTGTGTGTGTGTGTGTGTGTAATGACAATAATCAGTACAACCACAGGAAAACATCTAAACAAACCCCGCCTTCGCGTGTATCTGATTGGCCAATGAGCAATACCCGATTTGTCCACAAACAATGTGATTGGTCTGCCGAGGAGACATTTCACACGCCACAGCTCCCTGGTCGTGGCAGAGGGGAAGTGATCGAGGTTGCCTCGTAACATAAATGGCTCGTCTCAGTATCCGTCAAAGAGAGAGGCCTCGGTGAATAGATTGATTGGATATTCCAAACGTCTGCCAACGCGATACACGTAAAATACAGCGCGGCCAGGACACAGTGAGCCTGCGCTAAGAGCAAAAGAGGAGGTTCCCGAATAGAGTCCTTTATTTATTTCTTTGTTGCCAGTCGCGAAAATAATTCCAGCGACACATACTACAGCACGTAATTTATATTCGTTACCCGTATACACTAGAAAACTGGATAAGATTACGGTGGCTGCTCGAAGGCCAAAGCCAAGTGGAGGAGGATGAAGCGGCGCAATGCGGACTGCAGCAAACTCCGACGGCCGGTAAAACGGAATCGAATCACCGAGGGCATATACGGCAGGTAACTTGCATGGAGGCTGACGGGTGCGTTGTCCTCGCGACAACAAATGAGACTACTCGTTAAAAATGACAACGGCGTGGGAGCTGTAAAACACGGACGCTTCTCACTGTTTATATTGATACAAATGTGCTACTGCTAGCTAGCTCGCTAGCCTGTTAACACGGCTAACTAGCTGCTATTGATAGCGCTGTGTACGCTAAGAGTCGGTTGTCTTTG